TGGTTGTTCACAGGGTCAGTGCCATTCTCAGCGATATACTTTTCAATCAGCCGGCGCTCATAGACATGATTTGACACTGGAGACACGCAGGGGTGCTCAGGCACCTCATTCGAAACTGCAAAGGGACAGAGACAGACAAGACACGAGTGGCATTAAAGCAGGAAGGGGAATTCTGGGCAGCATGAATCCCCTCCCACATCCTGGGGCAGTTCAGCAACATGGGAGCCCTGGGAGGATAAATAAAACAACCAGTCTCTCAGCCTCCCAGGATTGCACAAGAGATCAGTTAAGTTTTCCCATAGCCTCATAACACACAGAGCAACATACATCTTTTTGCATGTTGCTACTGTGATCCTTACTCAAGTTTATCTTCACTGACCTCTGCATCTCCATCCTGGGAAGTTTGAGTAGGTTAGATGAACATTTGCTTTCTAAACCTGTCTTCTGGTTTAGAAAAGTATGATGCTGCCTTGAGCAGCAGGCTGGAGTTGGGAACATCCTGTGGACCTTTTCCACTTTATTTTTCTATAATCAAAACCTTCCCCCAACACCTGCAGTCTAGCAGTGCTCACAGCTCCAGTTGTTCTCAAACTTAATTGTATCGCATACCTTATTTTAAGTTTCTTATAGTGCTGGGTATCATGATTCTATACTAGACAACACTGTATCACTCTCACCACATCGTTACCTCTCCAACACCCTAAGAGAAACTGATGAGTTCATATTTTCATCTTTTTTCTCTATTTCCCCTTTCCTTCCTGACACTGTCCTGTTCCTTCCTCTCATATCTCCCAGTTAGAGAAACGCTGGCCTCTTCGTTTTCTTTCAAACCACCAGCTTGGCTTTCTTTAGAGGGTGAGACAGTTAATGCTGAAGCTAATTCAACTGAGCCTAAAATGCCACACCTATTGATCTCTGCTGCTGTGTTGTCTGTACCATAGATCGCAACAGCAGTTTGCCTGTCCTACTAATATTACTAAGAGATGTGCCCAGGATAGTGGTAAATGGTTTACTTAATGTGGTACAAAAAAAAAGGACTTATCTAGTATTCAAGAAACCTTCAGTACAGCACTCAGGGTTAGAACAGGAAGAGCTATTGGGGAAGTTTTCTGAAATTCTGTCCAGCCTCAAGGACTGGTAGGAGCAGCTTTCCATGACGACCTGGTTTCAATTCTGAGTCCTGGGGCTAGCAAAGTACCTGGGATTCTACCTAGTCACAGGTCTGGCAAAGACAATCCTGCGTTTCTGAGCCTGACCAGGAAGGCAGTATGGCCTAGCACTAACTAGCACTCTTTCAAAGAGCTGGTCATAATCCGAGCTCTTCTACAGGCCACTGCCGAGTGACCCTGTACAAATCATTCCTCTCTTGGTGCCTCAGACTCCGCCACCAGTAAGAGAGGGATAACAGTACTGCCCTTCTGTGTAAAACTATGCAAGATCCACTGACAGGTATCATATAAGAGCTGAGCATCTCTTTCTCCTACCCTTAGTGCATCTCTATGAGAGAGAAGGGGTCTGTCTGCTGAGCTTGGAGCTTCACTATGGAAAAATATGGGGGGGGGGGGGGAAGATGTGTGTAGGTACATACATGCATGTGTATACATACATATTTACATAATTAACAAGTAACCTCTTGGGCTCAGCAATGTACATCACTTTGCCCTCAATATCCTGCCAATGGAGCCCTTGGAGTCTGCACACACCACAGGCGAACTGTGGTACCTTTATCAGCACTTACACACACTGTTCCTGCCCAGCCAGGAAGGACTGCAAGTGCCTTGCCAAATGGCAGATGTGTATGTCAACCCCCTCATCATTATTGATACTACTGACACACCTAGGGGCCCTAATCATAAACCACATCCCCAGTGGTAACACACTACACCAATGACTCATGGTACCCCTCAAGAGCGTTTGGGCCCCCCCCCTCAAAAAATGCCAGGTTTTTGCTTTCATTTTTTTTGCGACTACAATTAAAAAACAAAACAAAACAGAACAATTCTTCTGTTGCAAAAGACTCAGAAAAACCACAACAGGGCTGAATGCTTTTAAACACAGTGAAACCTTATTTAAAATCTCTAGGTTTATCTATCTTGCGAATCACGTTTGCACACCTAACAGTGCTAATACTGTGTGGCACCCATGGTATCCTTGAAAGGATCTCAAGGTAACCCAGGGTTGCACAGCACCCTAAATGAGAATCACTGCACAATACAAATGCACACGAGCCACTAGTTCAGAGGCTCGTCTGCATGCCCAGAGACATTCTCCTACCCCATCAGTGGGAAAAGTCATAGTAAGATGGAAAATGTATCAGATTCCTGTAGCCCCTGCTACGTTACATATATTTACACAATTAACTGTTTAATCGCACAACCCATTTAGACCAGCCATAAAGTGCTTGAAAAGTTATAACAACTCTATAGCTGATTTCTTTCCAGCTTTAATTGGAATGTGTAGGAGGGCCCTAAGTAAGCTGTTTTTCTGGCAGTTCCATACCTGAGCTAAGACAATATTGATCACGTATTGCTTAAAAATTAACTTTTGACCTCAAGCTAATGCTGAAAAATGTTAGGCCAAGGGAGGGAACATCTGGGGAGGGTGTCTGAAGCTGAACAAAGAACTAGGGTGGAAACTGCCACACATCCCAAACTTCAACCCCGACTGTTTCCACATCAAAGGAGCGGTCAATGAGCTGAACCTTCACCCTAGGGCAAAATGACAGAATCACAGAAAGTGAGTGTTGGAAGGGACGTCAGGAGGTCATCTCGTCCAACCTCTACTCAAAGCAGGACCATCCCCAACTAGATCATCCCAGCCAAGGCTTTCTTTAGCCAGGTCTTAAAAACCTACAAGGATGGGGCTTCCACCACATCTCTGGGTAACCTGTTCCAGTGCTTTACTACCTTCCTAGTACCTAAACTAAACTTCCTTTGCTGCAACTCGAAACCATTGCTCCTTGTTCTGTCATCTGCCAACACTGAGAACAGCCTAGCTCCATCCTCTTTCGAACCCTCCTTCAGGTAGTTAAAGGCTGCTATTAAATCCCCTCTTAGTCTCCTCTTCTCTAGATGAAATAAGCCCAGTTCTCTCAGCTCCTCACAAGTCACATGCCCCAGCCCTGCCACGGGTTTTCACTGCCCTTCACTGCATTCTCTCTGGCTGACCCCCAGGGGGCTGGTGGAGGAGTGGGGGGGACATTAAGGGCGGGATTTGGTTCAACTCCCTAGAAGTACACTACAGATTTGTATTTGAACTCTCTGGGTTGTCCCAGGCTTGGGCTGTGTCAGTGCGCCTGCTGGGACCAAGCCCGGAGGCTCCTGGCCGGGGGGGCCATGGCCCCGCGCTCAGGGTCAGACCATCCCCACATCTGGGCTCGGGAAGACCCGTTCCCCCGGCTCTGGCCTGACACGGGCTGCAGGGGCTTCACCTCCCCCTGCTCGGGGCGCAGCCGCCCCCGGGACCTGCTGACAGCGGTGCCCAGAAGCGGGCCGCTGGCTGCGGGGCGGCCCCGCTCCCCACCCCGCCCCGCGGGGCTCCGCGCACCGCAGCCTCCAGCGCGGGAAAGGGGGCAGCGCCTCCGGCCGGAGCGCGCAGGGAACTGGGACGCGCTCGCTCCCTCGCGCCGCGCCGCACTCACTCGAGCAGATCAGGGCCATGGCGGCGGCGACGGCTGATCCCGAGCCCGCCTCGCTCTGGCTCCGGTTTCTTCTTCCGGGTCACGGGGTTCTGCTTCCGGCGCGTGTGCCAGGCCCACGAGGGGGACAGGGGGACGGTCCCTCTCGCTCTGGTCCTCCCAGCAGGCCCCGCGGCAGGGCCGCGCCGACCACTTCCGTCTGCGAATGTGTTTGGGGGGACCCGCCCCGAGGCGCAGCGGGGAGCTGCCACTGACAGCCAGTACCCTGTGGGGCCAGTGGATCCGTTCCGCCTGCCAGGCCGCGAATCCCGCCGAGCACAGCCTCCCTTCCCGGCATGCCCCGGGCGGCGGCGCGTTGCCGTGGCAACCGAGCGCCCGCGGCGCCCAAGAGACCCTCGTGGGACCTGCTGCTCCCGTCATGCCCTGCGCGCGAGGCGGCTTCCGACCCACAACCGTCATTCCCAGAATTCACTGGGCGAATTTCCCCCCTACGTCACTGCCTCCCTGAAGGACTACAGCTCCCGGCGTGCACCGCATGGGTGAGGGGGCACCTTCCGCGGTCCAGGGTGCGCGCCAACCGCTGAGAAAGCCACGCCCCCTCAGCACGGCCCCGCCCCGCCCGCGCTGGGGTGAGCTCT